TGCCAATAAAGAATAAAGAGAAGATTTGCACAACTTGTTTGCCACCCTCTCATACACAGCCAAGTGCTTCACTCATTTCTAGCCAAGAAACCTCCAAATACACATCGTAGTACTGCTTCACACACAGACAGGTGCCTCATTCATTCAGAAGCCAGGTGCACCACTGAGACCACAGCCACCAGCCAATCCAGCAGACTTACAATACACATTTGACTCAAATGGACTCCTCCAGTGACAGTTTGCCCAACTTAGAGTGTGTAGCTCTAGCTGGGCTCCTGTACAGTCACATGTGCACATCCTCTTGGGAAAGTGAAAGTTGGGCACCTTTTACAGTGTTTTGCAAGTGACAACATGTGTTAGCAGCACTTGTGGGGATGGATGCAGGGTGACTTTCCATGCCCTCCCTCATTATAGATGCATGGATAGCCCAACCCTAAGGTATACTACCAGGAAGGAGGCTGGAATTGTCGACAGATTACCACACATTTACAGTAATTAGGCTAAAATTAGGTAGCATTGTGGTTCCAGTCACAGAACAAGCAGGACATGTACCCAAAACACCCATATTGCGAGATAATCTCTACTTGTGTATTGCTTTATATACATTGCCTGGTAAATAAAAAAATGTATGTTCACAATACCGTCCTCCACTTGGTATTTCTTCATTTTATTTGTAAGCTCCAGAAGACGCTATAATGAAGTTTATCACAGCAGCACAGCCTGTTCTTGGTGGCAGTTGTTACTGTAGCGCTACCCCCGTAGGAGCCGCTAGTGTAACAGGTTTTTCTGTCCCCTCTGCACAGCTGTACCGCCCAATTGGTGGATCCACAGCTCACCAACACACCTTTGTATAGTTTTTTTGTATTGTATTTAATAGCTGAATAACACACACTGATCTCTAAATATCGTCACAATAACACACTGTAGCATGTGAAGTAAATAAATGCACTCTTACATCCAGTTACTGCGGCTATCTATTGCCTATACAGAGTCCTGTAATGTCAGACTGTCTCAGGAGTAAATCTAAGAGTAGAAGAATCCAATAACAATATCTCCCTTCTGTAGTAAGTATCACACCCCTCTAGACTACTGGCCAGTAGTAATGTCCTAGGCTAGCCAACGTTGGGGCCCATTCTGTGTAGCAGATGTGTAAAAGTACATTGTCACATTGGCCATAGGCCTCTCACCACTCCCAGGGTTGTTCTGCACAAGATGATGTCTTTCAGCAGCTGTATATACGTCCCTCTTCCGGCGGAACAACACTTAGGAAGGAGATTATGTCATCTAGGGTCTCTTGCAGCTCATCACCACTTGTCTAGGGTTTCTTGGAACATATCACCGCATGTCTAGGGTTTCTTGGGACACATCACCGCACGTCTAGGGTCATCTAAGGCCTCCGGTAATGATCTCCTCGCGATCCCGCTCGCTCTGCTGGGCTGGCTGGGTCACTCCAGGGGCTGGATTGGCCACACGACCAGGCAGCAATATCCCCGCCGTTGACGCGTCACTAGGCCTCCGTTCAGGCACCCGATCTCTGTCACTTCGTCTCACAGATGAGCAACTGTCTCTCCAGCACGGCAGCACAGAGCCTGTGTTTCCCTGTCTATCAAGGTCGACCACACACTCCGTTGCAGGCAGTGCTAACTCACACTGTCTTACATCGATCCGCACACTTCAGGTCCCGGTAGCAGACTGAGCGCGCTCAGCCTTCACAGTCCATAGCCATCCCCCTCCCTCTCGCACAGTATCCTGGGAGTTGCAGTTCTCAAGGTCCTTTCAGCAGTATGTCCATATCTGCTCTGCACTGCAATCCCTATAAATCTCCATCTCACTTCCCACACAGAGGCAATTAACTGTTGGCAGCCAGAAACACCGATCTACACAGTAGCACATATATTCATCTATATAGGGGCTACATTACATTTTGGTGAGTCTACTTCTTGCTAAGATCAAAAAGTCTGTGTATAGCCAGATTGCAGTAGAGTGGCTCTTAGGATCCCTCCATTGCAATCAGGCTTTGAAGTTACAGTATAGCAGTCTGACATCTTTTTTAAAATAAGCTAGTATATTCACTTCTGCACAGAATGTATGACATACAGCTTTTATGAGCCCGCTAAATCATCTGCTTGTCTCAGCTGATGAGAGCTCAATTCATCCTACTCATAATTTACAGTTTAACTTCAAGTGAGCCAATAATATAATGCAGTAGGTTCTAGGTGAACAGACTATCTTCACATTGGTCAGATTTGTTTTTGTTACCAACTGCTGTTAAGAAAAGCAATTCCTGACCTGTGGTTCTGGAGAAAGCAGAACATATCTGCACTGTGTTATTTGGTGATGGATCTAACATTTCATGTCAAAGATAGAGCATTACTTCTTATTTTTCACAGTCAATACCGAAACATTATTTATAGTAGAGATTAAGATATGGGATGAGGGAAATTACAAATATTTCTAAGAGTGAATTAACAAATGGCTCTTCTGATACTGATACCAGTATACGTTTTGCTAACCTCCCTGTACACTGACACATGCAGCTTTTACTGGCATTTAATTTACTTTCAGATATCACCCAGAACACTGAATAATGAAGAAGACTGAGAATTGCAGTATTTGCTGATACGTTCACTTCTTAAGTTTTTAGAGATATCTGACTCTATGATGTGTGAGCCAGAGCTGGTAAGGGTGCAAACCCCCCGCAGGCTATTCCAGTATGAGGTAAAGAGAGCCTGTGTGTATACACTAGGCAACACATGTCATACAATATCTATATTTTTTATTAGAGTATTTCGTAACAAACAAAAATGATCTGTAGGGGAATATTACTGGTAAACTGTCAGACTACATATATTGGTATTTTTGGCGTTTCTCCATAATTCACTGTGATTACTGTATAGTTATGGCAGCACATAGTCCCATGACCTACAGGACTCTGATTGCCCTCGTCTTTCCAAAGTTGGCTGGCATCCCATTAACGTGACCAATGAATCAGACAATCAAACAAGAATACCATTGTGTCAGTAAGAACATATTATAACATACTATATACATTGCCTGGCCCCCAAAAAAGTAACCACATGGATTTAGCTAGCCTTCCATTGGATAAGTGTTATGATCTGGGGTTGCTTCAGTTGGGCAGGTTTAGGTTCAGCAACTTTATGTTCCCAAAAAATGAAGTCAGCTGCCTACCTAAATATAATGAATGACCCTGGCATATTTCAAAATGACAATGTTTGGATGCATCGGGCTCAAATTGTGATTTGGGGAGCATGAGGCATAATTTTCGCACATGGACTGGCCACCAAAGTCCAGACCTCAGCCCCAATGAGAATCTTTGGGATGTGCTGGAGAAGACTTTACGCACTACACTGTGTGCACAATTATTAGGCAAGTTGTATTTTTGAGAATTAATTTCATTATTGAACAACTACAACTTCGTTTCAATAACAGTCATAAGCCTTCCATCCATGGAGTCTGTCCTTTTCTTGATCTGTTGACGATCAACTTTTTGTGCCGCAGCAACCACAGCCCCCCAGACACTGTTCAGAGAGGTGTACTGTTTTCCTTCACCGTAAATCCCTCCTTTAAGAAGGGCCCACAAATTCTCAAAAGGGTTTAGATCAGGTGAAGAAGGGGGCCATGTCATTATTCTTTCATCTTTAAGGCCTTTACTGGCTAGCCACGCAGTGGAGTACTTCAATGCATGTGATGGAGCATTTTCCTGCATAAATATCATGGTCTTTTTGGAAGATGCAGACATTTTCCTGTACCACTGCTTGAAGAAAATGTATTCTAAAAACTGGCAGTAGGTTTGGGAGTTGATTTTGACTCCATCTTCAACCTGAAAAAGTCTAACTAGCTCATCTTTAATAATACCAGCCCATACCAGTACCCCACCTCCACCTTGCTGGCGTCTGAGTCAAAGAGGAGATCTTTGCCCATTACTAATCCAGGCAGGGGCTGATCCATCTGGTCACTCTCATGTAATCAGTCCATAAAACCTTTGAAAAATCTGTCTTCAGATATTTCATAGTTACATAGTTACATAGTATTTGAGGTTGAATAAAGACATGTCCATTTCAAGGCCCAGTTTTGACGTTTCAATTTGTGTGACTTGTTCAGTGGCGGTCGGGTTTCTGCCTTCCTTACTTTGGCCATGTCTCTGAGCACTGAACACCTTTTACTTCTGGGCACTCAAGGTACGTTGCAGTCCTGGAATATGATAGCACTGGAGGATATTGGGTTCCTGGTAGCTTCACATTTGATTCTTTTCAAGTCTTTGGTAGTTAATTTGCCTCTTTTTTTATCAACACATTTCTTGCGAACCTGTTGACTATTTGCAACAAAACGTTTCATGTTTCTGTGATCACACCCCAATATCTTAGCAATTTCAAGAGTGCTGCATCCCTCTAAAAGACTTTTTGCTATTTTTTTACTTTTCAAAGTCAGTTAAATCTCTTTTTTGGCCCATTTTGCCTGAGGAAAAGAAGCTTCTTAATCATTATGCACACCTTGATATAGGGTGTTGATCTCCTAAGGCCACACCCTCCCTCATTAAACAAATACACATCACCTGATATGCTTAAATCCAATAAGCCTTCAAGCTTATACAGCTTGGAGTTGGACAATATCCATAAAAATGGTGATTTGGTCAAAATACTCACTTGCCTAATAATTGTGCACACAGAGTAGATCGACTATCCCATCATCACGAAAAGATCTTGGTGAAAAATTAATGCAACTTTGGATGGAATTTTTTTTGTGACATTGCATAAGTTTATCCAAACAATGCCACAGCGAATGCGTGCTGTAATCAAAGCTAAAGGCGGTCCAACTAAATATTAAAGTGTGTGACTTTTTTTTTCTTTTTCTTTGGACATCCAGTGTATACATTTTCTGAACCAGCAGCAAAGTTCTGCTTGGCAGGTTTTATTAGGTACCATATATGTATACTATGCTTCACCTAGAGATTACTGTGTTGACATTAGAAGTTTTGTTACCTGCATTCAATAAACCATTGTCGGATCTGGTCTTGAAGTGTTTCCTTCATGTCTAATCCTTCTGTCTCTCTTATAGTGTTCTTTACTTGCACCAGGGCATGTTGGTAGTCGGCTTCATGCTGCTCCTGCAGTTCAGAGCGAAGGGTTTCTGTCTTACTGGCAATCATCTGCGCCATGCTCACAGTGGTGAAATGTGCAGGTGGCACCTACAAATACAAAATGAGAAGAAGGTTCAGAAAGGCTCCGGACTGCTCAATATAGTTTGACTAGCAAGCATATGTAGTGTTTTTTTTTGCAATAAACACATAACTGTGGGATTTAGTGTTTTTTTTATGATAGTCTGGAGTTCAGTTTCAAATGAATCTTATTTTTCACATGCAGGTCACAGTCACATTTAATTACCCTTTCATCAGCAGCAGATACTCACCTTTCTGTTGCTTTTGTGCAAGTCCCAGGGGAACCTCTCTGGTTGGAGCTTAAAAAGTGCTGAAATCTGACTGACAGACCCATGTGTAAGCACTAGGCCAATCACCAAGCACTAGCATTATCACATCAGTGGAAGAAGAGTGAGTCACAAGTTACTCCATATCCAGTACACTTTCCTTCCTTCAGAAGCTGAAGAATCTGTTTGAATGAGCCATGATATGTCTTCAACAATAGAGAACAAGTTAGTTGAATAGGACTAACTACTACTAGCTATCATAAGAAAAGTATGTAAGCTAATATTAGTCCTATTCAACTGACTTGTTCTGTATTGTTGAAGGCATATCATGGCTCATTCAAACAGATTCTTCAGTTTGGAGTGTCAGGAACATACCCAAACCACACAGTTAACTCAGTCACCCTAATTAAATCACCATGGAATGTGCCAATGCAGAGGTTGACTGGACAAGAACAGAATGGGATGTGTAAAAATGTTTGTAAAACACCCTGTAGATAATCCAGTTCCATGGTGCCAGAAAGTAGACATGTGCACTGCCCAAAAATTTGTTTAGTTTCGTTTCGTTTTAAATTCGGATTTGTGTTATTTTGTTTTTCAGGATTCGGGTGTGAAAGTCAATTCGGATTCGGAATTCGGATTCGGACGAAATTCGGTAGCGTTAGTACGAACGTTCGTTTTGTTTTCTGTTCTTATTCGTTTCTTATTCGTTTTGTTCGTTTGCAGCAAAAGTGACATTTGAGGGGGAAAAAATATTTTTCTCCTCTAATGTCACTTTGCTCCAACGAACGAAACGAATAAGAAACGAATAAGAAACGAATAAGAACAGAAAAACGAAACGAACGTTCGTACTAACGCTACCGAATTTCGGAAATGGAAATTCGGATTCGTTTGCATTCGTTATGTCTGTAATTCGGAATTCGGATACATCCGAATGTCCGAATTTCCGAAAATTCGTCCGAATTTCGATTCGGAACGAAACGAATCGCACATGTCTACCAGAAAGGTCAGGACAGGTATTTAACTTTTCTATCATATATTTACTTTAATGCACAACAACGTCATATGTGCTCTATTGTTTAAAAAAATGTGTTAAGCGGCAGTGCACAGGTGTCAACTAGCCCCATAATTATTAATGGGCAGAATGTCATCCCCGACCATTCTCTTCTTAATCTGTACTGCCATGTAGAGACTTCCAGTTAGAGAGCGACAACCTGAAAGCAAACAAGTTCTGCTGTTTTCTCTTTTTAGAAAACTTATAAAGATTTGTGACAATGGTGTTATGGGAGCACCCCATGAAAAGAGTTTGTTTGTATATTAAAATGTAATGTAATAAGTGAAAAAATATATAAAGCATCCGTTTAAAAACGTATACAATTAAAAACATAAAATTGACCCCAAACCATTATAATGTCCTGTTAAAAGTAGAACAGAACAACATGGACAACATACTGATCTGTGTTACGTGTCAAGGAACTTAACAACAGGCTGATGTAGGGGAAATATACACTTCCTGATAAAGAGTTTGGGCATGTTCAATAACCAGGAAGTTCTGATATTAGGGACAATAGATCATTTAGAGCAGGGAAGTTTCAGAGACAGCTACACAGAGCTCTGTATTGTGCGGATCTCAGAATTCCTGGCAAGAGGCTGAAACTGTGATCTTTAGTAACAAATCAGCAGAATAGAATATTTGAAGAAAAGGCTTCAAGGGTAGAAGGATTCTGTCATTCTAAGGTCACAGTTAACAGCATGTATTGAAAGAGGCGTCACAGAGGTTTTTTTTTGCTCCAAAAACTGCCCAATCTTTTACAAGGTATTTCTAAAAATGTAGCTAGGCCTATACTTTAGAGCTGGATAATATGTAGACAGATGTGAGATCTTTGGGCAGCTCAAATTTAATCAGCTCTGGAAAAATCATAATTCACACCAGAAGAGAAAAATATTTGGCACATGGCCCCTGTGCGGTGTCTGTATCTTCTGCACATGAAATAATTGTTCTTTTACTGTAATGTTGTTACATATATGTGTGCTGGTATGTTTATATGCTAGGGTTCAATGTCAGCCTAAGAATGTTGATACACAAGTTTACTTATAATAATGATGGTAAAAAAATGACAGTACTGCTGGATATGAGACTCATGTACAGTAGGTAAAAGGTGAAAAACACTACATCATCGGAATGGGACACATCCCTGTCAAAATGCCACATGTGGAGCATTTTAGGGCTCAGCCCAGTTCTATGTGACAGTAAACATCCATCTAACTTCCATGGTTCAATACAGTAGGTCTGATGCATAAAACTTCTGTAGGCTGCCACCCTCAGTTCAATGCTGACTTTTAGTTTACACATGTGTTTGTGGGGCTTTTTCTAATTTAAATACAGAACCATGATTTTATTTATAGATGTATTATGAGTCTGAAGCCGGGATCCCTTATTATTTTATTTGTGATCTTTATTTTATTTATCTGGACCTTTAACTTTTTCAGGAACTTTACAAGTCTGCATGAACAAACACCTGAAATGTAACAACATACGGCAACTGTAGAATTAAAAAAATGTTGTATCATTTGAAATAAACTGTTTTGTAAGAGAGCTTAGCTTAGCTTAAGTTATTACCAGACTATTGTTCCTAATTTTCAACAACAGTTTACTGGATGGAAGAGTACCAACTGATTGGCATAAAGCAAAAGTTGTACCAATTTTCAAAAAGGGGTCAAGATGTATACCAGGAAACTACAAACCAGTTAGCCTATCATCAATAGTATGCAAAATATTTAAGGGAATGGTAAGGGACTATATTCAGGAAGTTATTCGAGGAAATGGTATTATCAGCAACAAGCAGCATAGATTTATGAAAGAACGTTCTTGTCAGACCAACCTATTAATGTTCTATTATTAATGAGGAAGTGAGTAGCAACCTAGACAGAGAAAGGCTAGTGAACATAGTTTATCTGGTTTTTGCTAAAGCATTTGATACTGTACCCCATGAACACTTACTTTGCAAACTACAGTTCATGGGCATTAAGGAAAGGGTGTGCAAATGGATAGAAATTTGGTTAGATGAAAAGGTACAGAGAGCATAGATAAATGGCTAATTTTCTGCCTGGTCCAGGGTTGTGAGTGGCGTGCCCCAGGGCTCTGTCGTAGGGCCAATACTATTTAACTTGTTTATTAATGATATTGAGATTGGTATTAATAGTTCAGTTTCAGTGTTTGCTGATAATACCACAATTTGTAGGGTAACAAACTCATCAGAGGACATAGCAACATTACAGGAAGACCTTGATAAAGTAGGGGAGAGACATGGCAGATGAGGTTCCATCTAGAAACAATATACATTAGTAAATTAAACATGACGTTATAGTCCATCATAGGAGTAAGCTTGGAGCGGTGGCTGCTTTACCCAGGGACCATGGGGAACAAAAGGAGCCACCCTCCAGAAGGAAGGACAGTGTGAGCAAAACAATTCTGAAATAATATGAGGATCTACAGCTGAATGATGCACACGTAAGCTACAGTATTGTTAATAGTTAAGGTACTTGAATGCATTTTTAAGATTTAACTCCTGAGTTTAGTGTCACTTTAAAGAAATAAAAGCAGATGAAGGCATTGACAGAGGGAGTGCTGTTATTTGTGTGACCTCTTATAAAAGTTAAATCGCATGCTAGGTCCTCTTTAATTAGCAGCCTGGAAAAAAATATGTCTGAAAACAACCAATCAGGTTCCAAGACCTTAATACAGAAGGTAGATTTAACCCAATTGGCTCTTTTAAGGTGACAGCTCTTTTTATGAACTGTGGACCTTGCTAGTATCTACAGTAGAATAAACATCTTTAAAGGAAACCTTTATTGAGAGAGATTTGGAGGCTGCCATTGTTGACTTTGCTTTATTTATTTTACATATGCTCCTGGTCTAGCTGTTATTAACTTTTGTGCGTCAATTCTTAAGTCACTAAGTATGCAGATCAGGTTTTTTTTCACTTTACATCAATTTTTCTGATGTGCATACTTGTTTTAGGTCAGTAACAAATGAAGTATTGAGCCACCAGGTAGCTACCATTTTCAGAAGATCAGTAACATTAAATTCTCTCTTAGGAAAGATTTTCTCTATATGGCCTGCATAAAAATAACTTCATCTATGAGGACAAATAATTTTTACAATTCTAACAGCAGTGCTAATAAAGCAAATGATCTTTAAAGCCCAACTGAACTTGTTCTAGAACTCTCTAATTAGCAGGGAGCATGAGCTTTGGTGATTACAGAGCTAATTATCTAACTCAGCAGGACCTATGCAGAGAGACCACTGTTTCCTCACTGAGAGCACAGGTTTATCTCTACAGAAATCTGGCAGGGCATATATTTTTCTACTTTGGCTGTAGCTGCTTATAAAGAAACCTGCAAGACAATCCACAAACGTTGTTTTGATGCACCTGCAATATGCTTAGCAGAATTAAACTAAAAATATAATCAGGCTTAAAAATGTATATTAGGTATTCAAAGTACACAGTAGCTAAATAACCAAGAGACAAAAAGACCTTATATGTAAAGAAGACTTTTCTTTATGACAGTCACTAGACTAGTTAAATTCAGGCATTTGGATGTATCCGAATTTCCGAATTTAAATGCACCCAAATGCAAATTAATCTGAATCGGATCCATTCTAATTTTGTTCAAAATAAACTAAATCAGAGATGTGACTGTTGTCTGGCCAATCAGATTTGTTTTTCACTGTTGGGGGTTGCATTACAGACAAGGCCACGTGAC